GCACAGATCAGCTTTCCCAGGATGCCCACCCTGAGAGGCTGTCCTCAGGGAAACGTGCTGCAGGTCGCTTTGCCACCCTCAAATCCTCTGCAGGGTTCCCTTTAACCACTCCCTCCCTTCCCTTCCCTTTTGCCCCTGCATCGGTTTTGAGGGACCTGTCCTCACAGCCAGTTCTCATCTGTCCCCATCCCTAACTTTGGTCGGCCGTCTGCTCCTCGGCAGGTCCCCTGCCTCTTTAGGACCCATAATAGTAGTCCCCGGGGCTGTGGTGTGCCCCGACGCCGTGTGAGGCAGCTGCTCCTCGCTCCTCGGGCCTCACGTGGGTCTCTCCTCCCCCACCCTTTTCTGTCCGGTGAGACAGACATCCAGGGGTGAACTGGGCAATGGCGTGGCTGGTGTGGCCCTGGAGAGGTGTCGAGGGAACCTCAGAGCCTTGGGTACACGCCCTCCATCTCCTCCCTTCTCAGGGTCCTTGAGCGAAGCCCATTTCCTTCCCATTACAGCAGAAAGTCGAGGCAGGAGCGCTTGTGTTGGGGCCCCACTTTCCGTGAGTCTCCGTGACTTCTCCTCCATAACAGTGTGCGCCTGCTGAGACCCACTAATAAGGTATCAAGTGGGCAGCTCGTGCTACATGTCACTTCTATGTCAATACAGCTCTTTATTAAGTTGAAAGGGATGAGATATAAGTCAGAAACTTAAGTTTCCAGCCCCGCTCCCCCACCTCTGGGATCCTGCTTCATTTGGACTCTCCCGGCTCCTGTTCCCTACTGGCTTTTGGAACTACCTCCCAAACTTCCTCTTCCAGTTTATTGCAGGGATGGCTGGACTTGGGGACCAGAGAGCATGGTTTGGGGCCTGGGCCCTTCCAATGACCGGGTGAGAGGATGCTGCTCGGCTTCCCGCTGTGCACCAGGACACAGTGAGGACCCCAGCGCTGTCAGGCCCTCCATGAGGACTAGTGAAGCAGGGTGAGCGGCACAGCAGGGCCAGGCCAGGCCACCAGGGCTTCCCGCCACACTGCCCGGCCTCCGCAGGGGCCCACCTCCAGGGGCCTGTGGCAGAGTCACTGCTCCTCGGCCCACCCTCCCACTGCCCTCGGCTGGCCTTGGTTCCTCCCTGCCACCCGCCTTGCCCGTGCTCCTGGTCCCCGTCTGCCTCCTGACCCCTCCCCTGGCAGGACTGTGTCACCTTCCCAGCTCAGCTCCAGCCCTTCCCTTGTCACCAGGCTGCCTCAGAGCCGCACCTCATGGGTGAGGACACAACCTAGAAGGTCCATGGTACATGGCCTCACTGCTCATGCAAGCACGCACTCACACACGTGTGCGTCTGTGTGTGTGTTTGTATGTGTGTATAATGTGTGTGTCTGTGTGTAATGTGTGTGTGTCTGTGTCGGTGTTACTGTGTCATGTGTGTGTGTGTCTGTGTGTGTCTGTGTCTGTGGATGTGTGTCAGTGTGTGTGTGTGTCATGTGTGTGTCTCTGTGTGTGTATAATGTGTGTGTGTCTGTGTATGTGTGTAATGTGTGTGTGTCTGTGTCTGTGTGTAATGTGTGTGTGTCTGTGTCGGTGTTACTGTGTCATGTGTGTGTGTCTGTGTATGTCTGTGTCTGTGGATGTGTGTCAGTGTGTGTGTGTGTCATGTGTGTGTCTGTGTGTGTGTGTCGGTATGTCTCTCTGTGTGTCGTGTGTGTGTCTCTGTGTAATGTGTGTGTCAGTGTGTGTGTCCCTGAGGGTTCAGGCCTCGACTTCCCTACTGGGTAAGTGACTGCGAGGCCAGAAGCAGGTGACATATTTTAAGCATGTGACGTATGTGCTGTTCTCAGTGACCATGTGTCAACCCCATTTGCAATAGGCGCACTGGGCGGCATTCGCCTGGCCGCCCTGGAGGACAGTCCTCAGCCAAGGGCGCAGGACAAGGAAGGGTGTCAGCATCCCCAGACCCGCCCCCGTGCGGGGAACACAGGATCTGCAGCTTTCAATGGCCCTGGGTTCCAAATCTGAGAGTCAGCCAGCTGTGACTCCTCTATGAAACGGGTTTCTGACTTATCCAACAGTCTTCCCTGATTTCCACCTGGAGGAAAGAGGCACGTCCCACCCAGCTGCTGCTTCCCACTGACTCCCCACCTTTGCTGCCCCGGCTCCCCTGGGGAGGGTGTGCACCTGTTTTGCACAAAGAAAGCAGTCTGGCTTTGCCTTGATTTCCTCTCAGCTCATTTTCATTGCTTCAGAAGCGCTGAGTGCCTGGTGAGGGCTGGGGTTGGCCGACCCCCTCAGCCCGGAGGCTGCCAACAGCAGTCCATGTGGTCTCAGTGGCAGGATTCGCTGGTTGGGGGTTGACAGGGCTCTCAGCTGGGGTCCCTCCTGCATCCCAGAGGGTGGCTGGGAGGTTCTGAGGCTCCTCCGGGCTGTGGGTGCCTCACCTCACTGGCATCCGCACACAGGCTGTGGCTGGGAACTTGGCAAGGACCCTCAGCCAGGTTGCCTGCCATGCCTGTCCCTGCGGAGGGCGGATGGCCCCTTTGCTGCAGTTCAACGGGCCGGGAGGCTGCCAGGATTGCAATCTGGCTCAGAGATACTGTGAACTGCCGCGTCCTGGTCCGAACAGCGGGTGGCAGGTGGTGGGTCAGGGCCATCAGGCAGTGAGGGGCCAGGCCCTGGATGGTTGGGTGTCCACTCTGACAGTCACACACTCCTCGGGTATCAGCCATCTCTTGAAATTGTCACAAAGTTGAAAATCCACTAAGCCCTCGGCATCCCTTCAGAATACACACAGTGAGCACGCCCACTGGCAGAAGAGCTGTTTCTCACACACTTGCTGCTGGAGATTCTCAATCTATTTATTCCCACCTCCAACAGACTCCTGAGGACCAGCTTCTCCTTACCCCAGGGGAACCGTTCACCTTCTCTGCATGGCCCAGGACTGCGTTCACCCAGCTTTCCAGGGCCTTCCCGGGATGGGGCTGCCCGGGTGCAGCCCAGGAGGTGACCTGCTCAGCCGTGCCCAGGCCCGGGCATGGCCCCAGAGTGCCTCGACACGCCTCTTAGAGCTGTCCCCATGGCCGTCATTAATCCCCCAGCCATCCCGTCCTTTGTCTGAGTGGGCAGCTCAGGTGACAGCCAGGTTTTCAGACTGAGGGCTGTCTGTGTGCAGTGTCTAACCGTGGACTGCGTGTCTTGCTTTCAATGTCGTCGCAGAGCCTGTGCGCATGCTCAGCCCCTCACAGGAGAGGAGGGCCAAGCGGGATCCGGGAGGACCTTCCACGTGGGCAGGTCCCGGGGGAAACAAGGGGCAGCTGTGCTTTCTGGGGGCGGGCACAGAGCCCCACAGAGGCCAGGAAGGTGGCGCTGGGAGGCAGGGTCAGCAGAGTCCAGGTCCTCTGGGCTCCCCCCCACCGCAGTGGGAGGAGGTGAGGGGCCTTGCCATCGTCCCGTCTCTTGGTGGCCCAGCTGCGGCAGCAGCCTTCTTTCAGGGAAGGGAGCAGGGCCCCCCTGCCAGGAGCCCCTCCGGGTGGCACCCCCCTGCTTCCCTCAACAGGCTGGTTTCTGCCTAATGTCCTGTCTTGGTCCTCAGTCATGTCCCTGCTTTGACCCCTTTCCATCCTCAGGCAGGCGACTCCCGGGGCCTTGCTTTCCCACCTGCATGCTGACCAAGGCCATTCCAGGGGAAGGCAGGAGGCGGGGGTAGGAAAGACGGCCTGGGGCAGCCCACGTCCCTGAACACCGCTGCGAGGTGTGCAGGCCTCTTGGTGACCGCCTTTTCCGCGGCTTCACCCCCAGCGAGAAGCTGAGGCCTCAGGGGCCACAGGAGGAGGGGGGAGGGCTGAGTCCCGAGGGGAGGTTCCAGGCCTCCCTCTCACCCAGCGCCAGGGTCTGGGCAGGTGAGTGTCCTCCCGCAGAAGAGAGAGAATGAAGCAGGACTTGGTAAGGAGGGACTTTTCTCAAGTGGATGGACAGGGCAACTGCAGAAGGACCCTGGGCCACGGCACACAACCCCCTCAAGCACAGCAGGGCTTTTCCTGTGTCAGGCAAACAGCGGGCGGAGGGGACAGTGGTCTTTGGCAAGAAGCCAGGGAAAGACCAGAGCCGGCTGGACAGGGGAACCCCTGCGGCGGGGCGATCCCCAAGAGAAGCTGTGGAGGGCTGCCCCAGGGCTTCCGTGGCCTTCAGCCTCAGGGACGGGCCAGGGTGCAGGGCAGGATCCGGGTGGTGGCGGAGGCTGTGCTGGCTGGAACAGCCAGGGTGAGCCCTGAGCTCCGCCTCCCGGTGTCGGCTGCGGAGTTCCAGCACTCCCCGAGACGGGCTGCAGCCACCCAGGGTGAGCCACGCGCCACTCTGCTGTCCCTTCTCCATGTTCTTAACTGTGTGCCACTAAGAACAAGTTCCTGGGTGGGTCACCATCCGCTGCTTCCCTGATATTTCTAAAGATGGTACCTGACAACCTCCGCCTACGTCGCGGGCTTTAGGGACTCCTGTGTTCACCCCAACCAGGCTGCAGTCAGCCAGTGTGCGTGGCTCTCCTCCAGCTCCGCCCCGGGCTTCACCTGCTCTGACCTCCTGTCCCCCACACCTGAGGTAGGGGCCACACTGGCCTTCGATCCACAGAGGGGAAACTGTGGCCTGGAAGACACCAGCGTTCTTTCTGTGGTTGATGGCTCTTGGGGTGGAGCAGGACACATCTAGGCTCCAGAGCCAGCCCACTGCCTCCCGGCCACTCCACACATTCCCACATCCTCCTCGGCAGCTGCCAAGGTGTCCTCGTCCCCAGGAGACCAAGTGCAAGCTCACCACCACAAGTGACTCTCTTCTTCCATAGGCAGAGTCAGCCTCCCCCTCTCTCCCACTGCACTGATGGTTTGTCTTAGATTCTAAGAAGTCATGTGACTGTTCTGTGATTCTCTTGAAACCCTCGGGATGTACATGGTTAACCATTCGCATCTGGGCAGAGAGGCGTTGCTGTTAAATAGGAAGTGGTAATTCAGCTGTTTTCTCTCGGTGATTCTAGTATCTCACCGTGCTTTTCTTAATGAGCATTGGAAACTGCATCTGTTGGCAGGATGGTCCTCACACAGGGGCCGCTGGGCCAGGACCGTCCCTGAGGGGAGTGCAGCCAGCCACCCGCTCTGGATCTCAGCACTTTCTGAGGTGAGCACGCCCAGATCCCCCTACTATCCTTCAAAACCTTCCCAGCTTCTTGGACTCTCTAGCCACAACAGGCCCCTTAGAGAGCAGTGATTTCCCTCCTGGGTGTGGTGTGACAGCCGTGCTTACACCTAAGGAGACACTTCACTTTCCTGAAGGCACCGCCCCATGGTGTTCAGAGAGGAGCGTGTTTTACAGAAGCCTGCTCTTCTTCCAAGGGCACAGTGGCTGATTCTACTGTGACTGCCTCATACTGGAGCTTGGGCGATGATTTGGGCACTGCTTCTTCATGCGGGAGGTCTCTACAGGGCTTCATCTGCATAGACATGCCATTTTTTCTTTTCTTTTTCTTGGTTTGCAGTGCTGGGGGCTACACCCAGGGCCTTGCACACACTAAGCAGGGGCTCCAACATTCAGATACAACCTCACTCCTAGAAATGCTATTACTTTCTAAACCAAGCACACAGAAAAGATGTTGAGACACTAACATTCAGCTAAGATGTCTTGGGAGCAGTAAGGGACTCAGGCCATGCCAGACAGTGGGTGGGAGCCTTGGCGATCGAGGCTGGGTTGGCAGGAGCCCACAGGGTAGTTTTCCCAGGGACCTGGTGGACTGGAGTCTCCAGGAGCATCCGTGTGATGCAGGCAGAGCTCAGATGCCACAATCATGGTGGTGATGGGGTCAACACCTCCGACCAGGGAAGAGTGCATAAAGACAGTGAAGGCTTCAGGGCCACCTCCAAAGCCCAAGGAGGACAGGAAATAGAAATTGTGGGGACCAGCACCAGGAAGAAAGCGCAGAACGTAAAGTTGAAGTTAAAACTATTCTTGAATGGTAAACAAATCACTGGAAAAAACCTTCTGGCTTTTTCTTAACCACCCCCATTCAAAAGCAGAAGGAAGCTGGCCCAGACTTTCGGCCCCACTGATGTTTATAAAAGTGTAACAAGGAGCTCACAAGTGACCCAAGTGAATCCAGAACATTTATTTATGGAACATGTAGTTTAAAAATTCTGACATCAGTAAGGAGTTTTAAAGTAAGTAAATTATTTTTACTTCTATCACTTCACTAAGAGCTGGTGGAGACAGTGAATCAGACGGGGATAAGAGGCAGGGGTGCAAAGCACCACTGTGGCAGTCTCAGAGGAATTGAAGGCTTCCCATCTGCAACATGGGTACAGTTCATCTTGGAGTTTTTATGAGGTTAAAGAGGTAATAGATGTTAAGTGGTGATCTGAATACTCAGCACAGGGCTAGACCCTAATTTACAGTACACACACGTGCATCCATATATACATGCACCTATACATGCATGCACACATTCACTTGTACACACAAACACCCGTGCACACGCACCTACACATACACAAGCACACACATGCATGAACACACAACTACCCATGCATGCATGCACATGTTTGCACATACATACATATACACCTGCATACACATTAAAACAGCTGTGCATATATCCATGCACACATACCTGCAAACACATATACGAACATGAACACACATGCATACACACATTTATGTAACCCACTTACATACATAGACACCCATGCATACACAGTGCATGTATACACATACACACATGCATGCACACATGTATTCACATACATGAATATTCATATACATACACATCTGTACACATACTCATAAATCTCCATGCCTGAGGTCATACATACACACATGTACACCTGCACACACAGTCATAAACATGCACACATACACATGTACACACTCCCATGCGCAGTACTTCTTTCATTTTCCTCCTTGGCTGAGGGCCATCACTACTTATGAAAGGAAGTCCAACCTTAAAACCCTCTGATTGGATTTAAAGAGCTGTTAACTCGTAACAAAATGTTTCCCAGTGTTTAGAGAATACTTTATTAGTTCCTGTAATTAAACCCACGTACTGACGTACTGACGGTTGTTTTCAAGCTGAAATTCTAGCATATTCTGATAAGTATTCCTGGCGTCTTCCCTGGCTCTCATTTTCCTGGGTGGGGTGGAGGCAGGCAGTGGAAGCTGGCCCTCAGCCCTCCCACTGGCCATCTCAGTCACCTCTCTCTCAAGGAGACTTACCCCTGGGTCCCACCTGCTCTGCTCCCAGGTCAGAGCCAACTGTGACTGACCCTCAGCTGACACGCCTGCGAGGCCCTCACTGCTGCTGTCCAGCCGAAGGTCTTCTTGGGTGGCCTTCCTTTTCTAAGTGGACTAGTCCATCAGCTAGTACTTTTTTGAGGGACTTTCCTTTGCACACCGCACCTAGGCTGCTCAGATTTTTTTCCTGCTGATTCTATCATCTCTGCCATTCTTCTGTTTCCTCACGTAGATTACGGGCCATGTTTTCCTGTTTCTTTATGTGTTTGGAAATTTCTGTTTGGTCGCCTGATATGTGAATTTTCATTATCGAGGGTTGGTTTTCATTGCATTTTTCTACATAATCTTGGGCTTGTTCTAGAATGTGGCTATTCTTTGGATTGGAGGGGTCCTTTGGAGCTCTGTACAAGCTTTGTCCTGCCCAGGGCACCTTCAGGGCAGAACTACGTTAGCTCCACACCCCAGGGGCGCATCCTTTGGAGAGTGCGGTGTGGTGCCGCGGAGTTAGGAGGGTGGCCACTCAGGCCAGTGGTGGGGGGAGCTGTCCCTCCTGGGGGTGAAGTCTGCCCACTCCCTTCTGGCAGCTCTTTGTCCAGTGTCTGTGGAGTGGCTTCCTCCTGCAGAAATGCCTCAGCCGCACCCTGGGTGTTGTGCATGCAGCTCCTTCCTCTCCGCTCAGCAAGGTTGCCATTCTCTTCGGGGCTCTTCTCACTCTGCTGTGGGACTGGTGGGGCTCACGTCACTTCCCATGTCACTAGCCCTCCCCCTGCCAGGGGCCACAACCCTGTGATGCCTATTGGCTCATAGCTGAGGGCTCGGATGATATTTTGTGGGTTTTTCTGGTTGCGCGGCAGCGTGGTGCGTTGGTCTCTGTACTCCATTGTGGGTGGAAGCTGCAGGCTGCAGTGGTGCTCTGGCTGCCATTTAATCAGATAATCTCACCGATAGGAATCCCTCCTCAGCTGCCTTTGCAACAGGGGGGCTGGATGCCCTGCTTCTCCTGTGGGCTCCTTGTACTCAGAGCTCCGTACTCGCAGGCCACTGCCTGGAGCAGTGACCCCACGCCTCCCTGTCTCCATCGGGAGCAGGACTGAGGGGCAGCAGCCGCGGGCCTGAGGCAGGACTCCGGGTATCACAAACACACATGAGAACTGAGCCCAGAACCTCACTCAGGCTGGCCATGTCATCCTGCCATCCCCCAGGGTCAGGTATCCCAGCGACTGCATGCAAGGCATGGTGCAGCATGGGGGACCACAGGCAGGCGCAGGAGAAAGAGGCGGGGAAGGGAAGCAGGCAACATGAGTGGCAGTTGGGTGATGGATCTTACTGGGTGGTGGGTGGCAGCTGATGCATCAGGAAATAGAAGAGTGTGGGAGATGGAGTTGGGCTCTTGCCTGCCCGTTCTCCAGGGACCAGACCAGAGCCTCCTCCTCCACCACCTTGCCTACGGACGCCACCTCACCCCTTCCTTCCTGCACTTGAATGTCTGACGACGACCTGTCAGCCCAGCAGACAGTGTTTGTCAAACGGGGCGTCTGCTGAGAGGTCTGCTGGGGGAGGGTCCCTGCCCACCATCTCCCTAGCCCGCGTCTTCCCAGGGTGCTTCCGGGACGACCCTTGCAGTCACAGCTCGAGAGATTCTTCCTGAAGCGCTCGAAGGCCCACGTGGGTGATGGTCACTGAGCTATAGTGAAGTCTGGAACCATAAAACACAAGTTTCTAGACACATCCTTAGTTTTAGAGATTGTGCTCAGTAGAATCTCCTTCTATGTAATTATATTGAATTTTGCATGAAAATTTTTGTGTAGATCACAAACTGTTTTTTCTGATATCACTCTTGGTTATGCCCTAAGATCAGGATCAGAAAATGACAGCCCCTGGCCACCCATGTGTGGTTAGCCCCACTCCCTCACGTATTGCCTGAAGCTGCTTGCACACACCCGGAAGGCATTCAGCACTTGCTGTGAGGCCCCCTGCGGAGCCGGGGGACCGGCTCCGAGTGGGCACTGTTAGGTACAACAGCGTGCTGTGCTGGGTTCCAGGGGAGGGAGGCCTGCCCTTGGACCACTGGCTCCAGAATCCCACTGTAACTGCCGTGCCTTTTGCCTCCCTAGTTCACCTCTGCCCTCCTGTTGCCCTGCTCGTAGCCGGCTCTGCTGAGCGTCCACTTCCCTTCCTACACCAGGCCTGTGTCTTCTGTCTTGATCAAGAAGGCCACCACAATGGGAGAGGTGAGAGTCCGTTTTATTTTGGGCAGGGGGCATGATTTTGGAACTGGTGCTATGGCTGTCTCTGTTCACCTTGCAGGAGCTGATGAACTCCACCGACAGTTACTACCCAACCGACGACTACCCTGAGCCGCTGGAGGACCCCGGAGCCTTGCTGTGCTCCCTGCAGGAGGTCCGGCAGTTCTCCAGGGTCTTCGTGCCAGTTGCTTACTCCTTGATCTGCGTCTTTGGCCTGCTGGGCAATACTCTGGTGGTGCTCACCTTTGCCTTTTATAAGAAGGCCAAGTCCATGACGGATGTCTATCTCCTGAACATGGCCATCGCAGACATTCTCTTTGTCCTCACTCTTCCCTTCTGGGCCGTCACTCATGCTACCGACACGTGGATGTTCAGTAACGCCGTGTGCAAACTGATGAAAGGCATCTACGCGGTCAACTTTAACTGCGGGATGCTGCTCCTGGCCTGCATCAGCCTGGACCGGTACATCGCCATCGTCCAGGCAACCAAGTCCTTCCGGCTCCGCTCCAGGACGCTGGCGCACAGTAAGATCATCTGCTTGGCTGTGTGGGTGGTGTCACTCATCATCTCCAGCTCGACCTTCACCTTCAATCAGAAATACAGCATGCAGGGCAGGGACGTCTGTGAGCCCAGGTACCAGTCGGTCTCGGAGCCGCTCACGTGGAAGCTGCTGGGGCTGGGGCTCCAGCTGCTGTTCGGCTTCTTCATCCCCCTGGTGTTCATGGTGCTCTGCTACCTGCTCATCGCCAGGACCTTGGTGCAGGCTCAGAACTCGAAGCGGCACAGGGCCATCCGCGTCATCATCGCCGTGGTCCTGGTCTTCCTGGCTTGCCAGGTCCCCCATAACATGGTGCTCCTTGTGACCGCTGCCCAGATGGGCAGGGCGGGCCGGACTTGCCATGGCCAGAAGGTCATGGGCTATGCCAACAACGTCACGGAGGTGCTGGCCTTCCTGCACTGCTGCCTCAACCCGGTGCTGTACGCGTTTGTGGGCCAGAAGTTCAGGAACTACTTCCTGAAGATCATGAAGGACATGTGGTGTGTGAGGAGGCCGAAGGCTGCAGGCTCCTCCTGCGCCCGGATGTACTCCGAGACCTTCGCTTCCCGGCAGACCAGCGAGACCGCGGACGACAACGGGTCCTCCTTCACCATGTGACCCGTGGCGAACTCGCCGAGAGATGCGAAGACAGAGATCCTCGGCCCGGCCCAAAGCACGGCGGTGAGCGAACTAACCCGAATCAGGCAGGGCCGGGCTCTGCGCTTCTGGCCCTGTCCATGTGCCCCCAGCCCTTCCCTCTGCCTGGGGCGGGGGACTCTGCAGCAGCTTTCCCCAAGTGCTTGACAAGAAAGGCCGGCGGCTCCGGGTCTCACAGCGCTGGGGTTCCACCAAACAGGCCTTGGAAATGTGGAAGTGACTTGTCTGCAAATGTGAAGGTTTTCAGAGACTCTCCTGGAGCGGCCGTGGATCCCAGTCCCTCCTGTGTGGCACAGAGGACCACGAGTTTGAAGAAGCGAGCAGAGCCCCTGCAACCCGTGTCAGGTGGACGCTGAACATTTCCTTACCCAGATGCTCTCTGTTGCTAATTGTCAGTAGCAAACATTCTCATTTCCCTCTGAATCACTCAGGAAATGCCAGGGGTCAAAAGGTGGAAGAAAGACAGACCCAAGTGTTCATAAACTGGAACAGCCACGGGGAAAGACGGAGGCTGAGTAGGTGCCAGTGTGACCGTCACTGGGTCACAGTGTCACAGGCAGGAGCACGTCAGCTCACTCTTGCTCCCCTAGATGCTGTTCTCTATGATAAACTTTCCTTGTAAGGGCCCCAGGCCTTACCTTAGTTTGCAGCATGCAGAAAAAATATTCATTGGATAAATTGTAATAAAAGTGGATTTTATTTTGGCAGCTTGAAGTGCTAGATATTTCTAAACTACTTTATGAATAGCACACTTTTTTTTTTTAAGCAGAAAGAAACTTTCTTCTGTTTCCCTAATAGAATTGAAGAAGGCGTGTGGTCAAGGACTGGGTGATGAAGAGCTTTGATTTACTTAGTGTAGAGTTAGAAGTGTGTTGGCCCCTGAGACTGACTTCTTTAAAGTAGCTTCACCCAGATTCTGAGGTTAGCTTGGAATCAGACTTTAACAACTCTCTTCCATTGTGTGGAGAGCTCATAGAACTACTTTTTATATTGCTATGTAAACATAAATGGAAAAATATCAACCGAATTCCAAAAATACAAACACATATGAGAAAAGTGCTGACATGAACTGCAAAAATCCTGACATGTTTACTTCTGACACACCCAGTGTCTGAGATGGTATGCGGTTCTTATAAGCTTTAACTGCGTCTCTCTATAATGTAAAATACTTGCTTTAAGATTCATCAAAGTCTGTATTTCAGTTGTCTTTTTGGCTTTGCAAAATAAAGCTGCTTTAGTGAAGTAGGACTTCTTTCAGCTTCTGTGTTCAGCCCAAGGAACCCTCTGCCCAGAGAGTGAGGTATTCAGGGCCACCATGTCCTTCAAAGTCATGACCAGTGTGCTGACACAGTCTGCAAAGACAAGCCTGGTGGTGGACGATGGGCCCAGAGACGTCTCATTTATCCAGTGTGGCTGGACATGTGCTCTTCCGGGTGGTTCCCGTTTCCAGATGGATGAAGGCGAGTCTCGAGCGACGCCCCTGAGCAGGTCAGGCCCATGCCTGCTCCTAAAGGGCGCTGCCATGTGACGGTGTTTTCCTGCTGTGCTGGCATCTGACCAGGCAGGTGGTCCCTGCGTGAGACCCACCGGAGGCCACATAGCTCATGTTCTTAAGGCCCTGTCTCCACACAGAGTCCCTCTGTGAGATCCTGGGGCTCGGCTACCAACGTAAGAAAGGGGGCCAGGATTCAGCCCGCACCATTCGACTTCACCTCATTTCAAACACTCGAGACTTCCTTCCTATGTGGCTTCTTCCTCCCTGATATTCCAAATATTCTTTCCCACTTCAGTTTCTCGGATGCATGCTCCTACAGAAAGGTGACAAAGGACAGTTGTGGTCCTGGGAGACCACAGCCACCCAGCGCTTCTCAGAGGCTCTTCCTCCTCAGGACTCCCAGGGCAGCCTCCTCCCCTGACCCCACCCAGCCTCTCCTTCCCGTGTCCCCCTCTCCTCCCTCCGGTTCTCCCATGGGTGCCTGTAGGGGAGTAGGGCTTGCCCCAACCCTGGGTTACTTCCATGTTCAATGCAGAGACATCCCTCTTCTCTTGGTGACGCAGGAAGGTGGCCTCCGCTGTGGCAGCAGAAAGCAGTTGGGGGGGTGCCTGTGGGTGCCCAGCCCCTGCCCACCACCCTGCGGTACAGACAGGTGGGTTCAGGGTGTCTACACCTGAGACACTGTGATTCCTCGGGACCCACGTGAAGAGTGACTCTGAGGGGCTCCACCTTCCTTGCTTCTTGGAGAAGCTCGGGGCTCACGTCGGTGCTCAGGCTGATGAATGAGAGGCCATGGACTGTGGAGACGGGTGCGCCTGCCAGGTAGCTCTGCTGGGCGCTGCGTGGCCTGCTGCCGTGTATCCCCATGTCAGGGTCCAGCGTGCGCCTCTCCCTGAGTGCATTGCTCGTCCAAGATTCCCTTGTGCTCTCTGAGGTCGACCATGGCAGCTCCAAAGGCAGGGCCTGTGTCTGTCCAACCCCTTGGGCATCAGGTAGTCCCCCAGACGATCCAAGGTAACCAGCCAAGTGCTGCTGCTCCCGCAGCTGTCGCCCGGCCAAGGGGCTGCTCCACCCCCCTGTCCCATTTCCATTCCAGCCAACAGAAAGAGGGAAAGGGGAAGCAGGTGGCCTGTTCCTTTTTTTTCAGGGCAAAACCTGGAAGTTGGGGAACTCATTCTGCCCCAGCCTACTGGCCTCAGGTCAGTCATGTGATCGGAGCCAGGTGGGAGACAGTCTGGGAAGTGTGTCAGCTGATCTCAGAAACCCCCCCCCCCCTTTTCCTTGTTAGTGTGATTTTTGATTTTTACTGCATGTAAATGATTCAGAGTTGTTATGGCCCCGAGCAGGGGCAGAGTCCTCATGTGGGAGGTCGTCTGGGGAAGGGCAAGGCATGAAGGCAGATTGCTAAGGAAAGGGCCTCTCTTTTCCTTTTAAAAGTTTGTTGGCAGGTGTTGATTGCACAGATTAGTGGGTTCGCTGTGACATTTCCAACACACCTTATTGCTTCTTGATCATGGCCACCTGGCTTCTACCCCTTCCTTTCCCCCAGTACTTCCTCTTTTCTTTCAGATTTTGGTTTTTTTTAAACATGGGATACTTTTTGCGGGGGGCGGGGTACTGGGGGTTGAACTCAGGGGACTCAACCACTAAAGGACACCCAGCCCTAATTTGTATTTTATTTAAAAACAGGGTCTCACTGAGTCGCTAAATCCCTCACCAAGTTTCGGAGGCTGGCTTTGAACTCGCGATCCTCCTGCCTCAGCCTCTGGAGCCGCTGGGATTATAGGCATGCGCCAGCCACCGAGCCCAGCTGGGAACTTCTAATTCGGTGTCTCTCTCACTTTGCTTAACCTCATGTTCTTTATCCATTTGTTGCAAATGGATGGCAGGACTTCCTTCCTCTCTATGGCTAAGTAACCTCCATTGTGTACGCTGCCGTATTTTCTTTATCCATTCATCTGTGGGCGGTTCCTGTGTGAGGGAGAGACATTGAGAAAATACTTGGCTGCTCACTTCGAAGGGAGGGGAAGCTGCCTTGGAGGTGAGGAAGGGCCCTGGAGGGTGGTGGCTCGGTGGGCTCCCTCCTCCCAGGCTCCCCGCCAGCTCCAACCAGCGCTCACTTTTATTAAGCAAGCCTGTTCCCTGCCACCGGGTGAGGATGGCTGGACTCCTGGAAGGAAGATGACATTTCGGGTGCCTTCCTGACATGCAGGCTCTACAGTGAGCTGGCCCCTTTTCCAGGCTGGCGGATGAGGTCTCAGCCGGGGTGGTTCCCAGCCTCCGGAGGCGCCTGGCCACATCTGCCCGGCCCTGGGCGTGGCTGCCCTCTAGTGGTGGGAGCTGGCCTCCGGCCGTCCGCACTGGACTTGCTGAGCCCACGGGCTCCACGGTTCAGAGAACAATCTTGTTGTGCATCTCAATGGGGAAATCTAAAAGTTTATTTTGTAAAGCAGATATATAAAATTAATAGAATCTTACACTGCACTCTCTAAACAATGGTCTAAATTCTTTAGAAAGATTACTAATTTTAAATAACTGACAATACTCATATACTAGGAAATTGCCACGTAGATATACTTACTGTTAATGCTGTTATTTGGTTCTAAGGTATTTGCTTCAGCCACACCATATGTATATGTGTACGTATGAGGATAAATGATATACAGTGATATTTAGGAACAGGGAACCTATATATTTTATGATATATATTATGGGATAATTTTAGGGGTCTTGTAACTAATTAAGAGAAAGCTATTTATATGTCATCTCCACTCAGCAGTCAATGAAGATGAAATTCTAAAATTCAGTAAAAATGTAAGGAAATTTCATACCAGCATCTTCACTTCCAGAATCGGGTGCATCTGAATCTGTTTTCCTCTGCTGAGGCAGGAGGATTGCATTGTGGGGACGCCTGGGGCTAGGTGTGGCATATGGGTGAGCGAGTGACCATCCTTCCTGCCGGGTCCCGTGGAGCCGTGGGGGGAGCACAGGGGCTTCCAGCAAAGGCCAGAGGCCAGAGGGCCAGCCTGCCTTTAGGAGAGCTCTTCTCCAGGACTGTCACATCAGGAGCCTGGGCCAAGGGCACCTGCCTGAGAGCCACTGTTCACTGGCCCCCATGGCCTGGCTTTTGGCCTCTTCCTTTGTCCTCGGAGAGCATGGCAGAGGTGACGGTGGCTGGGAGTCAGGGACTCCAGGCCATCCCGTGGGAACAGGCATTGCTCCAGCTTTCTGAGCCCCCTTCCCTCTCTCATTGGTCACCCCCATCAGCCAGAGCCTCTGATCTTGGTGGTGGACAGCTGCCCACCAGACCCTTTTCCTGTGCATGTGCAGACTTTGTCCCACCTTCTGGAAGCACAATGCTCCCCATGTCCAGCCCTGGCCAAAGACACCTGAGTCCGAGGGAAGCTCCCGGCTGTGGCTCTGGTCTTTGCTTTCCCTGTTGGCGGAAGGCGGGGCTGCAGGGCCACCTTGGGAGCCTGCTGCTGGGAACGCAACTGGCTTAGTCTGAACGCCCACCCCAGCTGTGCCCTGGCGCTCCTGCGTGATCCAGCTCCCAACCCGCTTGCATTCCGCGTGGCACAGGGCGCCATCACCCAGCGCCTGGCGTCCTCCTCCGTGCCCAGCTGCCCACCCAGCTCTGCCCTCCCCTTCCACTGGCTCCTCCCCCCGCCCCTCCCCCCTCACGGGTGACTGCCAACGCCCCCTCCCCTCTCATGTGTGAGCGCCAACGCCGGCTGCCAGTTCACTGAGGACATGTGAGCACCGCTGCCACCTTCCATGACCCACCTGGACCCCTGTGTCTGTGCTTGTCACAGCTGGGGTCCCCGATAGAAAGCCACCCCGGCCAGGCCACCTTGCTTGGGCTCAGGTGCCATCTGGTCGTCTCTCCCTCCTCTGTGCAGGTGTCACACCCTTGCCCCAGTGTCCAGTGTCCAAATGCAGAAAAGCATTGGTCTTGTTTTTTAATAATTAATAATTGTTTTAGAATTAAAAGCACAACAAACTCCACCTCTCCCCTCCGCGCCTTCTCCCTCTCCAGCCCCTCTTGGCTGGTCTCCTCCAGCAGGGGCTGGTGCTCCTGTCCACTGGAACCTGACGCGGCCCTGCCCTGCCATCCCACTCAACTGTCCTTGTGAGGGTCACCATGTCCTCTGTGGGACTGGAACCAAAGGAGGCAGCTCAGGAACTCCTGCAAGTGGTGGCCTGGCCCGTGGGGACCCCTGGCCTCCGCCTGGTGGGCCCTCCTCTCTCTCCCCGTGACCCCTGTGCCCCTCGTGACCCCTGACTGCACAGCTGCTCCAACTCCACGCTGGATTTCTCCTCTCCCTGTGTGCCCTCCCTAAGCCAGCCCCTCGTCCCTGGACTGCAGGACCCCCGGCTGAGGACAGCACTCGCCTACCAAGTGTGGGCTTCCTCAGGCTCCCCCAGCCTGGGCAGCGTGGCCCCTGTGGTCCCTCCCCCAAAGGCCCCACCGCAAGCTCTGCCTCCCTTCTTCCTGAAGGTGTGTCTTCCCTGCCTGGGGACCGCTGAGCTCTGCCTGATGCTCCGCGCCCTGTGGCACCTATCACACCTGCTTATCCTGCAAGGCTCAGGAAGGCCAGCTCTCAGGGCCCTGCCACTCCACCCAAGTGCGGCCCTGCTCCGCTGTCTTGGCTCCTTGGTTCGGGCTGTGCTTAGGATTCCTCTGATCCCCATATTTGCAGGACCTCAGGTCCTAAAGTGTGGCTCTGTGGCGGGGCCCATCTTCTCAGTG